CTCGTAAACCCACCGGCCATTTACCTCGACCAGTGATGCTGAATGAAGGCACATCAGGATGACAGCCGATGGGTCGGCGATAGGGCACGAGTAAGCGTACCGAAAGTTGAGCACGTTGGCGGTGCATTCTGTCTTCCTATATAATGGAGAAATCATGATGGTCGCAATAGCAGTTAATCATCAACAGCAGCACATCAGCTATCGGAACTGATGCTTCGCTGCCATACAACCATGAGGACCTATGAAATAAAGATTAAGAAGAGGGAGAGAAGGGGGACTTACCTGAAAAGCTTAATGCCCTAAGCAAACACTCAGGGTCAAGGCGCCTACACCTTGTGTAGACAACATACCGTCACAAACAGCTGGCTATCGTGCAAAGATAAGGCGGCGTAGGTGAGACAGCTGCCTCGCGACTTTCACTGCCACGCGTCATAATCAGCCATTACCCCTCAGATAACTCAGCACCAAAGACACTTTAAACAGACAATCCGATTAGGAGACGGCAGCAGACGCGCCACTGGTGTCTACTGCGAGCCATGTCCTGTAAAGTCTCGAGCCAAGCACAAGGCGAGTCACGTGAACTCCAACCCGGAAGGCGAGACGGACCAACGACACCCAGTTTGGTCGTCAGTGACTTCATTTCCCGCTGCCAAGTCAACTTCTGTCCACCTCGAGCCTTGCGCCATCCCACACCTGGGAGACTAAGCAAGGCCCTCCTAGGTAAGCGGTGACCAGGCATACGTAGCACGTGCCCGAGCCAACGCAACTTATTCAGTGCTATCTGTTGTTCTAGGGAGCTAGCATGATTACCACTACCTAGTTCCTGCCTACGCACATCATCGTTGCGGACACGCTGGTGCCATCCGACACCAGCAATGCTTCGCAAACAACGATGATCAAAGACTTGAAGGCGCCTCAGATCTTCAGACCGAAGCGGCCAAGTCTCACTACCATAGAGCAGAACGGCCCTCACTGCGGCCTTGTATACCCAGCCTTTCAGACGAAGGGAAATTCCCTTCTGTCGCCAAAGATGACGCAGGTTCAAGAAGGCAGCTCTGGCCTTTGCAATGCGTGAGCTCACGTCAGTTTCTATTCGCCCATCATTGCTGCCAAGACAAGTGAAATGATCAACCACCTCGAGTTCCTCGTTAGCAAGCGTCAAGGGGTCATCAAGTGGCTGATGGTCCTGCAGCAACACTTTGCACTTTGAAGGTGCGAAGTGCATACCAAATAACGGACCACTCTGCACAGGCTATTCAGGGTTGATTGGGCCGCCCCAACATCGTCGAAAAGCAAGACGATATCGTCCGCATAATCTAAATCAACTAACCTTTCACCAGGCAACACTTCAACGCCAACATCGTGAGGTTCCGCAAGGGAACACTCCATGATAGAATCCACGACGAAATTGAACAAAAATGGGGAAACGGGACAACCCTGACGAACGCCACTCGTGGTCCGAAAGCTAGTCGACAGGCCACCGTAGACCTGACGCGGCCTGTAGTGTTCGAGTATAGAGCACGAAGGATGTTCACATATTTCGTCGGAACATATTTTCGCGCAAGTATTTCGGACAAAATCGATCGATCGACTGAATCGAACGCACTCTTGAAATCGAGGAACACAGCTATTGTCGCTCTGCGGTATGCGTGGCGCTGCTCTAGCACCTGCCGCAAAGTGAATATATGGTCTATACAGTCACGCCCTGAGCGGAAACCGGCCTGCTCTTCCCTAATCCGAGATTCCCGTTCCGCAGTGAGGCGACGAACGATAATCGAGGCCAGTAATTTTGTCACAACTGGCGTTAGGCTAATACCCCTGTGGTTAGAACAGTCTGTGCGACTGCCCTTTTTGTATATTGCCACTATAATCGATTCGCTCCAATTAGCCGGCACACTTCGTTCCAGATACGTTCGAATAGGGAGGTCAATGCCATGCAGAGGGCCTCACCTCCATCCTTAAATAGTGAAGGTGGGAGGGAATCCGGGTCAGCGGCACGAAAACGATTGAGGGCTGTGATCGCATTTCGGACCTCGGCCTCCGACGGAGGCTCTAAACTAACCGTCCATGACTCGTCCTGCATCATCTGAGTAGGAAGAGGTCCGGGAGCAGGGGACCAGCTGAACTGATCTTCAAAGTGTTCAGCCCAAAGAGCCATACGGCGCTCCTTATTGTGTATCAGCGCACCCGCGCTGTCTCTGATTGTCTCACTGAAGCCTCGTTTGTTGCGACCAGTGGTGCGGATTAGCTGGAAGAGCTTCCGGTAATTGCCTACTGCTCCTGCTTCCTCCATTTCTTGAGCCCGACTGGTCCGCCGGGCTTCCTTGTCAGCACGTAGGCTCCGCTTTAGTTCACGCCTAATAGCCCGTCTGGTCACATCGTGTTCAGAGCCAGCCGGGAGGTGTCTTCTAGATTCCAACAGCTTCACCGACCTCTCGGATATCCAGTGACTGGTGCGGTGACGACTGATAGTGCCACAAACAGATGCTCCTGCGTCGTGCATAGCGGGCGAGATCCTATTCCACTGAAGCTCAGTGTCATTAGGACAAGACAGCGAGAGTTCGCTATGCAGTGCTTCTTGATAGGCTTGCTTGACCAAGTGCTGGGACAATTTCTCCGTTGCCAATCGGGGGAGACGCTTTGTGCGCCTTCCGGTAAAGTTCATGGAGAAACGACAGCGCACCAAGGCATGATCAGAGTCGACACAGGTACTCCAGTACGAGCGGCAATCCAGAATGGAACCGCGCCACCTGTAACCTATGGCTATGTGGTCAATTTGGGTCCATCGCTGGCCAGCTACAGGTGGACGCGAAGTGGCACTTCGGCGCCCACTGTGTCTCAAAGCAGTGCTAGTAAGAAACAACTGGTGCTCCGCACACAGTTGCAGCGGACGCTCGCCGTTGTCAGTCCGTTCGGAGTTAAGTCCACAATTACCACCAGCTGAGCTTCTGAAGAGCTCAGACGCCCTACTTGGGCGTTCATATCCCCTGCAAGTACTATAATATCTGAACTAGTAGCATTGCGTAGTAGCGCGTTCAGTTCGTAATAGAATGTATCCTTGCCAGCATTAGAACTGCAGTCGGTAGGAGCATAAACAGAAATAACGAACAAACAGCGTTTTTTATTGCTTCTTGAATCAACCTTAGCTGATGTCGTCAGACGGGCTGCACATAAACGGCTGTTCACCGGAATCCAATCAACCAACGCTGGCCAAGCCTTAGAGCTTAGAATGATACCTACACCAGCTTGACCCGTGAGTGCTGCATCGAAGTCTCCGGATGCGTGCAACCAATAACGAGAGGATAAGCCGGGTGCAGTCAATTCAATAACCCCGTTAGGGTCATTACTCCTAGTTTCGGACACACAACGCACATCAACACCGTGTGTCCAAGGTGCGTGCGAGTGCATCCTGTTGACCAGTTTGTCTTAGAGTGCGGACGTTGGATGTCGCCATGGAAACGGGATAGCGTGGCCTTATAAGGGACTTTTGCCGATAGGCGTCTGATAGGTGCGGTGGGATGGTGGCTGCAGATGGTTCTACTCCAGTGGCACTTCGGTTGTTGTCAATTAAGCTGGGAATTATAGAAGGAAGGTTAGTAATGGGGGTCGGGATGGGAGTAAGAGAAAAAGGTGGAAAAGAAAGAAGGGAGGCGCCAGTAGGAGCATGTTTTCGCTTATCCGCCCTGCTGTATGCAGCAGATAAGGCGACCCTTGATAATCTGCGCGACGGCCGATGCAGGATGAAGTTTATGCTTGAAGAAAAAGTCATAGTAGTTAAAGGCACAGTTGAAATGGCCAAAGGAAGCTGAGGTGGCAGTTTAACTCGGTGGTGCTTTTACGCATTGCGCTTTCGTTTTCGTCACTGGCTATCGCTATTTCATTTGTCACGGCTTCATGTTCAGATACTATCGTTTTATGCTGCCTGCACGAGATTTAGCAAATGAATCTGACGTAATTCAATGCCACCTTGTTGTACGTAGCTAATATATGAAAAGACTCGTGTATGTGTGAGACGGTCAATGCTGGATGAAAGTGAAATTAGATGAGACCGTCAGTTATACGTGGCTTCGAATGGAGAAGTATAACCTAGAGATCGGAATGACCGAGGTCTGTATAGAGGTTGCGAGTCGCAACCCAACCACACAGCGTGTTTCCTAACTTCAGCTTTGAATTGCTTACCGCAATGCCAAGCGTTACTCGCGGATCTCAGTAGCATAGTGTTCAGGGCGTCAATCGTGAACTGCTAGGCTCTGAGTTCTAACCCAGCTCAGGCTATCTCCACCTGACGAGTCCAAACCAGGAGGAAACCGCGGTCGTGGTGTGCCAGGATTGGGAAAAGCAACATCCAAATATTTACATTCCAGATACGGTCCTAGAGATCGGAATGACCGAGGTTTACCTCAAAGTGAACCGAGGTCTTTATAGAGGATGCGAGTCCCAACCCAACCACACAGCGTGTTCCCTAATCCAGGAAAGATTAGGGTCATTTATTTGTTCCTTTGATCAATACGACAACGTACTAGAAACATAATGATAGACCACGAGAAGAACCAGTTTCGCAGGAATGGGTGCAACCCAAAATCCAATCGCCAACTGGAGCGATTAAGAGGCTGAGTTTGTATGACTTCTGACGATTGACTAAGGTGGTGGGAAATGATTTAACGACACCCAAAAACGCCACGTAGCACAGTAAAACCGATCGACTTGGGCAAGCCATGGCACCGCAACAAGGTCTAAGCTTATAACAAACAGTAACATTCTGTGTCCAACAAAAGAAACGACTCCCAATGACAACAACACTCCTGATTTCGGCATGTGTCGTAGAACATGGCACTAGCTGGCACGAAGGACGTCCCACACCGGGGCAGGAATTCAAGCCTCAGGATTCACTGCTCGTATATTTGGAGACTGCGTTGCCCACAGTTTCGAAAACACGTAGAAATCGAGTTCCTACTTAGTTGTAATTGAAAGGAAAGATAGTAAAGAAAAATGAAACTAACAAAGGCTCGCCTGTATCCACGTAGGCGTTTATGATTTCCTGAGTTAATAGCCCCATTTTCACGGTGGTACTCTCGTGAAAAGTGACAATCTTCGGATCTTGTCCCGCGATTAACATGTAAATGCAAACGCCAGTGAGGACTGCATGTGATTCCCCGCTCAACCTGTACGGTAATAGAAATTTCATGAAACGGTGGATGACCTTTCCAGAATAGCTGTGGCATTCCTGTTGTCAAGAGGTTTACCGATGAGTTCTTCCTTGAATGCGATCATCGTATCAGCTGAAATAACAAGTTGGCGATGCTAAGCAGAATAGGCCTAGTGTGGTTGCAATACGTTGAGGTCACATGAGGCGATGAGTTTATCCACGGTTACACGGGCTTTAAGTAGTGCCAAGTTTTCGACGTAACTAGAAAACGATTCGAAGGTGTGAAGCGGCAGAGCTTCATCGACAGCGACAGACACCACTTCGAAGTTGATGCCCTGAAGGGACAAAGTACTCGCAGATGATAGTTTACCATATTTTCTAAGAGCTCCTTACGTCTGGGTGATGAGCTCGCCAAGACGATTCGGAATGAGGAAAGCAAATCTCTATGACACAACAGCATCGGTGACAAAAGAGGCTGAAAAGTGAAAGTAACATAAAAAGCTGTAAAAGAAACAAATAAATCTCAGCGATACTCGATGCAAAAATGTCCATCAATTCAAGGTTCCTTGACTTTTTAGTTATTCCTCGAGCCGGCGATCAAAGCAATCATGGTCAACAGCTGATTAATTTACTCGCTGTGGTGGTTCATCCAAATCGCCGATAAGAAACTTGTAAAAGCAGATCTAACCCTAAAAATGTAATGGAGAAAAGGGAAAAACAAACAGCGACAACCATAGTGCATCATCCATTTGGTATGAGTCTTCGATGCATGTAACCACAAAGACCTACGAAGTGAAGAATAATAAGTAGAAGAGAATGGGGACCTCGTGTGAAACGCTGATGCCCTAAGTAAACATTCGGGGTCAAGGCACTCACCACTTGCCAACAACATGCTGTCACAAGCAGCTGGATATAGTGCAAAGATAAGGCGGCGTCTGCGTGGTAGCTTCCTTACGGATTTCATTGCTCAGCATCATTATCACCCATTACCCCGCAGATAACTCAGCAGTAGACCCACGTTAAACAGGATATTAAACGGTAAGACATCAGACGCGCCACTGATGCCGACAGCGAGCTATCATGGTACCTCTCGAGTCAAGCACAAGGCGGGTCAAGTAGGCTCTAGCCCGGAAAGCGAAATGGAGCAACGGCACCCAAGTTTGTCAGTAACCTCAGTGCTCACTGCCAAGTCAGCTTCTGTCCACCTAGAGCCTTGCGCTACTCTATATTCAGCAAAAAATGCACTCTTCAATAAGCGGTGACCGAACATGCGTAGTACATGTCCAAATCACACAATTTATTCAATGCGATCTGTTGTGATAACGAATTAACTTGAGTATCACTGCTCAGCACTCAACAACGCATATTAGCTTTGTGGACACGCAGGCGCCAACCGACACCAGCAATGATCGGACTTAAGATGCCTCAGACTGAAGGGAACCATCTTCACTACCAGAGAGGAGGACGGACTTCAATTTTAACTTGCAAACAAGGCAATTAAGACCGAGACCCTTCTCTGACGCCATATGTCGAGGCTACAAGAAAGCAGTTCTAGATTTTGTAATACATGAAATGGCGCATGTCGTAATCAGCACTAGATAGACTAACACGATGCCAGCTGTTTCGGACTATGCTTTGTGCCCTTGAAATGCATAGTCCTCCAAGATTGGCAGGGGCTCACCCCTGAATCGAGGCTTGGTAGCGGTCAACCAGATATCTTTCAGAAATCTAAGGACTTGGGGAGCCGTTAGCACCTACGGTATGGAATATTAGGTCACATACAGTATAGCAAAAAGTAGAGCCACCTGTGGCATCGGCGTGACATCACTCAAGCCCTGAAGTGTAAAGTTTACATTACAGCTGCGCGTTCAATCCTGCTGTACAGCCCATCAGGTCGACAAACATTTGATCATCGCTGCCTTCACATAATCGCGTGAACAAGAGCGTGTTCGACATGCTGCAAGTTATACAGGACGGACGAGTGGAGCGCTCAGCACCAGTAGATTACGCACCCGGTTCCCATGGTAGGACCAGATGTTGCCCTTGTCAGCATATTGACTCTCGCAACGTGCATTGTTTGCGCACAACCGGTCTCAACAGAACAAGATGAAGGGAAACCCACCGATGAGTTATGAGAACACTCACTTTGAATTCGGCATGCTTAAAGTGTATCGATCTGATTGAGGTCCAGACATTAAGTAGGATATTTGGTTGGAAGCATTTGCTGATACGACGAAGGGCTAAGCTCAATAGCGTTAGTGTCGTGAATTTCTGTATCTCTACATATTTCACTTAGCTTCTGCCTTCAACCCGATCCCACTCTCCCTAGGCAAAATAAGAAGCATAATATTAGTTGTATTTTGTACTTCTCACTTTTCTTTTTAATTCGGATATCCTCCTGCAATGTATCGCAGCACAGCAGTTGTGGTATCTTACATCAACTGAAGTGTAAAATGATAGCGAGGTAAACTAGTTCACTTGCCCTTAAAAACTGACCATGTCACTTGAAAGCTTTTAGGCGGCGTGCATCTTTTTCTAACCGGCTCCATTTCTTAACCCCCGTCCTCACAATATTATTATTATTATCGTTTGTCAAAACAACTATTCCGTGTTATGTCGTTGACTCTTATTTCTCGTCGCTGGCATGGCGATGCTGGAAGCCGTTGTCACATCAACCTAGAGATCGAGCCTGAGCTTAATTGATGGCGAGAACAAGCAATGGCGGGAACTTTAAATTGGCCGTTGCCATGTTTACTCGTACATCATTTTTTCAGTTTCTAATTCCGATATACCAGTTTTTTTACAAAATATTTTTACACTGCCTTCGGTGAGTGTTACAATGCGTCATAGTCGTTTCGACTTTTGATCAGAACCCACGTAATTCAAAGATAGTACCGCATGCTCGCAGAATAGCAAATAGAATTTTAAACGTTGTGGTCTAACGTGAGCTAGCCGCCAGACGTAAAGCGAGCTGAGACTGCAGAAGAAAAAACCGTAACTTCGCACCACTGCACTGAGACCCAACGAGAAATACTGCCGCTAGCAAAAGTACTTTTACTGAGTCAGCCACACACCTTCATACATATAGCTCAATAGGACATTAGAATGCATAGAGAAAGTTGGATGGTGGCAAGACACATGAGTTGCCACCCAGTGGTAGTGTTCTGAGAAAAATTCAGTCAGTGTCAGGGTGATTTTGTGCGATAACCGCCGCAGGGCGCTGCGGAGAACCCAGATGATTTACTGCGACTCGAAACCATAGACACATTAGTGTCACGAAAAGAGTTCAGTGGATGCACTGCAGGTTGAACATTAGATGCATCATCATCATCATCATCAACAGCAGTACATCAGCCATTTGAACTGTTGCTTCGCTGCCATACAACCATGAGGAAATATGAAATAAAGAATAAGAGGGAGACAAGAGGGACTTACCTGAAAAGCTTAATGCACTAAGCAAACACTCAGGGTCAAGGCGCCTACACCTTGCGTAGACAACATACCGTCACAAACAGCTGGCTATCGTGCAAAGATAAGGCGGCATCGGCGAGACAGCTTCCTTGCGGCTTTCATTACCACGCGTCATAATCAGCCCTTACCCCTCAGATAACTCAGCACCAAACACACTTTAAACAGACAATCCGATTAGGAGACGGCAGCAGACGCGCCACTGGTGTCTACTGCGAGCCATGTCCTGTAAAGTCTCGAGCCAAGCACAAGGTGAGTCACGTGAACTCCAACCCGGAAGGCGAGACGGACCAACGGCACCCAGTTTGGTCGTCAGTGACTTCATTTCCCGCTGCCAAGTCAACTTCTGTCCACCTCGAGCCTTGCGCCATCCCACACCTGGGAGACTAAGCAAGGCCCTCCTAGGTAAGCGGTGACCAGGCATACGTAGCACGTGCCCGAGCCAACGCAACTTATTCAGTGCTATCTGTTGTTCTAGGGAGCTAGCATGATTACCACTACCTAGTTCCTGCCTACGCACATCATCGTTGCGGACACGCTGGTGCCATCCGACACCAGCAATGCTTCGCAAACAACGATGATCAAAGACTTGAAGGCGCCTCAGATCTTCAGACCGAAGCGGCCAAGTCTCACTACCATAGAGCAGAACGGCCCTCACTGCGGCCTTGTATACCCAGCCTTTCAGACGAAGGGAAACTCTCTTCTGTCGCCAAAGATGACGCAGGTTCAAGAAGGCAGCTCTGGCCTTTGCAATGCGTGAGCTCACGTCAGTTTCTATGCGCCCATCATTGCTGATGCAGCTGCCAAGATAAGTGAATTGATCAACCACCTCGAGTTCCTCGTTAGCAAGCGTCAAGGGGTCATCGAGTGGCTGGTGGTCCTGCAGCAACACTTTGCACTTTGAAGGTGCGAAGTGCATACCAAATAATGGGACCACTCTGGACAGGTTATTCAGGGTTGATTGTGCCGCCTCAACATTGTCGAAAAGTAAGACGATATCGTCCGCATAATCTAAATCAACTAACCTTTCACCAGGCAACACTTCAACGCCAACATCGTGAGGTTCCGCAAGGGAACACTCCATGATAGAATCCACGACGAAATTGAACAAAAATGGGAAAATCGGACAACCCTGACGAACGCCACTTGTAGTCGAAAAGCTATCCGATAGGGCACCATATACCCAGACGCGGCCTGTAGTGTTCGAGTATAGAGCACGAAGGATGTTCACATATTTCGTCGGAACACCTTTTCGCGCAAGTAAATCGAACAGAATTGATCGATCGACTGAATCGAACGCACTCTTGAAATCGAGGAACACAGCTATTGTCGCTCTGCGGTATGCGTGGCGCTGCTCTAGCACCTGCCGCAAAGTAAATATATGGTCTATACAGACACGCCCTGAGCGGAAACCGGCCTGCTCTTCCCTAATCCGAGATTCCCGTTCCGCAGTGAGGCGACGAACGATAATCGAGGCCAGTAATTTTGTCACAACTGGCGTTAGGCTAATACCCCTGTGGTTAGAACAGTCTGTGCGACTGCCCTTTTTGTATATTGCCACTATAATCGATTCGCTCCAATTAGCCGGCACACTCTCTTCGTTCCAGATACGTTCGAATAGGGAGGTCAGTGCCCTGCAGAGGACCTCACCTCCATCCTTAAATAGTGCAGGTGGGAGGGAATCCGGGCCAGCGGCACGAAAACGATTGAGGGCTGTGATCGCGTTTCGGACCTCGGCCTCCGACGGAGGCTCTAAACTAACCGTCCATGACTCGTCCTGCATCATCTGAGTAGGAAGAGGTCCGGGAGCAGGGGACCAGCTGAACTGATCTTCAAAGTGTTCAGCCCAACGAGCCATACGGCGCTCCTTATTGTGTATCAGCGCACCCGCGCTGTCTCTGATTGTCTCACTGAAGCCTCGTTTTCTGCGACCAGTGGTGCGGATTAGCTGGAAGAGCTTCCGGTAATTGCCTACTGCTCCGGCTTCCTCCATTTCTTGAGCCCGACTGGTCCGCCGGGCTTCCTTGTCAGCACGTAGGCTCCGCTTTAGTTCACGCCTAATAGCCCGTCTGGTCACATCGTGTTCAGAGCCAGCCGGGAGGTGTCTTCTAGATTCCAACAGCTTCACCGACCTCTCGGATATCCAGTGACTGGTGCGGTGACGACTGATAGTGCCACAAACAGATGCTCCTGCGTCGTGCATAGCGGGCGAGATCCTATTC